TCCCGTGCATATCTTTATAACTAGATGGATATAGATAATGGAATGAATCAACATCGTGTGGCATGGAGACGATTTTGAAAAATGATGATATTCCTGAAAAAAAGAGAAAATAATTGAGGTAGGATGTTAGAGAATGAAGAAAGTCTCTATTCAGAGTAAAGAATTGTAAATAAAAAAAATAGGATAGGTCATTGAAATGAACAATAGAAAAATGTCGCTTATAAGGATTAAAAAGTAATCGAAAGATACATGAATAGAGAGAGTGGATTATTGTGAAACGTAGATATTTAGAAAGATTGAAATATTAACAAACACAAGGAATTTAAAGAAAGAGATAGATGATAAAATAATGAGAAAGATCGTCACTGAACAAACAGAGGGATAAAGATCGGACATACATCGATAAACAGAGATAGATTGTAATAGAGATAAAAAGAGCAATCCAAATATGTGAGATGGTGGCTATGTAGGCAGATGTAACCGGATGGTGGCCATGTAGGCAGATGTAACCGGATGGTATAACCGGATGGTGGCCATGTATGGGGCAGGCAGATGTAACCGGATGGTGGCCATGTAGGCAGGTAACCGGAGATGTGGGCGGGCAGATGTAACCGGATGGTGGCCATGTAGGCAGGCAGATGTAACCGGATGGTGGCCATGTAGGCAGGCAGATGTAACCGGATGGTGGCCATGTAGGCAGGCAGATGTAACCGGATGGTGGCCATGTAGGCAGGCAGATGTAACCGGATGGTGGCTATGTAGGCAGATGCAAGTAGATGAAGATAGGCAGATGTAATCACACGCGGCTAGACAGATGCAAGCAGATGAAGATAGGCAGATGGCAGATGAAGATGGCAGATGTAAACAGATGCAAGCAGATGAAGATAGGCAGATGTAATCACACGCTGCTAAACAGATGCAAGCAGATGAAGATAGGCAGATGTAATCACATGCGGTTAGATAGATGCAAGCAGATGAGGATAAATATATACGTCAAGATAGGCAGACCTAGTTAAATATGGAAAAGTGGATAGGATTATGTCGACAGACATACATTTTACGTAGATATGCACACAATGAGAGATATGAATTTTATATCTTTACGATTTTAACGTGTCCTGTTTTACATGTGTTCATAATATTTTGTCCGTGTTGGATTCCATTCGCTTTTGTTGCTCGCCATTTCTTTTTCACTTTGTTTCGCGAGAATTTATGAGACCAGAAAAGAAAGCGAAGCAATGAATAAATCTAGTGGCATATAAAAGTACGGATGAACTTTATGCTCGAACAAAGATCCAAAATCGTTCTCTGGGGTTAGTCAGGAGCATCTACCATCTCATTTAGTAAATATATACGGGCATATATTTCCTAATACACAATGTTCTGATCATTAGACACCGACAATCTTATGTTTTTTTTAGCTCTGAGGTGGAAGCCTGCCATAGAACGATTGCTAGTTTGTATAGTAAAAAAAAAACTGTTCGTTAACACAGTTTTTGCATAGTCCAACAACACAGAGAAAACCCGTAGGACTTCATTACAACGGTAATTCACAAGGTGAAGTCATGTTCTCCTTTGACTACTAGCAGTAATATGCAAGTAGAGGTGGCGGTGAGCTATGGATGAGGGAACCGAAAGAATCCGTAATGTTTTTTTTTTAATCTTAATTTCATGTCTGGGTGCAAGTTAAGAGTCATGAGCAGACATCTGCTTCCAATCAAAGAAAGTAGTGAAGTGGAAAGAGGCCCAGTTTGGAATTTTGTTATCCTGCTCAGCTGATTAACCATTTCCCCGCCAATTATTTTGAGATAAGCGTTTACTGTTCGGACGAATTTTATTGTTTTTAATATATATATATATATATATATATTATGTTTTTAATATGAAATATTTTTTTATTTGTTTTTAATATCGTAACTAAGAAACTGAGGCACCTTGAAGTACCCGAGCGGTGGCTAACAATTCAACCACACGTATGAGTTGACAAATGAACTCGTTTCAATCTCCGAAGGGCTTAAAAAGAATCAATATAGACGTATAAACACGTCTTTATCTGGTTTTTGAAACGTTATGATTTGGACGGGTTTATTCGTCCGTATCTGAATGGGACATTTTGGGTAAAAACCTCTACACACGTTTGCCATGGGGAAGGGGGTTAAGGACTATCCTTTTCTGGATTATTTTTTCTTTTTGCTCGAGAGGAAATACTTTTATTTATTTATTTTTACACCTACAAAGGTAACGTTGATCCTCACAAGGCACTGCTGTACCACATTATTGCAAACAGCAGTGTTTCGACGCAGTAAACGTATATATATATATATATATATAAAAAACAGTGGAATGTTAATTGCTAAAATTTAAAGAGGTATAATTCTGTTCTTCTTAGACTTCAAAACAAACACAGTAGAAAGACTCAGAAAGGAAATTATAGCAAATGATTCCAGTCCCGGTTTGAAATAAAATTTAGATTTGTTTTTTAAGTTTAGATATAAGTAAAAAGAACATCATTGTTGACTTTAGAAACAAAATGTCTAATTGAAAAATTAAGAAAAAACATCACACAACTCAGTAGGTCAATATATATATATATATATATATATATATATATATAATAAAAAGGCTTAAACACTAATATTCCATGGTCATAATTTATTCCATTGGAATCGTAAATACGATCCAATATATATATATATATATTCATGCTGCAAGGGTGAGTGAAGACAGAATACCTAATGCTCTCATATATAGCCAGCTTGACAGTGGACTATTGGATGGCCGTAACTCTTTTATAAAGACAAGTAATATTTCGTAGCCCCCTCAACTGTCAATGTGCCTCATACTAACTACGGGCGAATTATCCTGGATAGAGTCAAGTGGAGATATTTGTGCCAGAGTAATATGAGAAAGTTTCAAATCTGTCGTTTCGACCGATTACGAAAAGAGAGACAACGGCGAAAAGCGTCAACACATATTCCTGTTGGCATGTCCCGAGTTTCTCGCTATTGTATAATATTTAGACTTAAATTCAGGTCACTAGCGGAACTAAAGTGTCATATACGGCACAAAAAAAAAACTGAATAAGATTATTGGGTTCATATACGTCGAAATCGAGAGGAGAGTCCATTTTATATATATACATAATTATTTATTCAAAAATTATGACATCAATATGTTATAAAATCCCTACAAAAATAGCCATTTTGTTTCAACACTTCTGATGTCTTATCAAATGATAGTGTTGAATGTATAATATGTTATATAGTTATGATATTAAAAACAAATAGAAAATATTTTACATTAAAAACATAAGATATTTATTAAAAGCAATAAAATTCGTTGAATGTATAAAATGATTATACATTCAACACTGTCACTTGATAAGACATCAGAAGTGATGAAACAAAATGGCAATTTTTGTAGTGATTTTATAACATATTTATGTTATAATTTTTGAATAAATAATTATATTTGCTCTACTCTGTATTGAGCAATCTTTAAAGAATAGTATTTGTTGGATATTGGAATTTATTCCGTATACACCAATCCTATACTTGTGTGTGTATATATATATATATATATATATATATATATACACACACACACACACAGTTCTTTATAAATGAATTTGTATGTATTAATCCGACAGATTTTATCACTTCAAATTTTTATTGAATCCTCAGATATAAGTAGACGCTCCGTTTATTTATTAAATAATTAGAGTACATCGGATATAACGACCGTTCCCGCTGCCTAAGATCCAGTAATAGGAGTCTCTCGTTGAGAACCACAATCTGTGCACGATTTGGCCATCGGACAGCATATATAGGACAGCCGAGATTGTGCCACCGAATACAATGACACATTTTTTTTCTGTTTTACATAGAGCGAGCTCTGCCCAAACCTTCGTGTTCTTGAGGCTGTATATATCAAATTATATCAGCCTAGCCTCTGTCATTTTATTCTTTCCGAGTTTGAATGACAATGAGGAAACTTTTTTTTTTCTATTTTATACTCTGTTGAAACCTTTTAATCTTTTTTTAGTCGTCAATTATTTAGAAGTAAAATTAGTTTCAATCGTGTTCAAACTTCTCCTCCTTTGCTACTTCTGTAATTCTACCCTGAGTTTATTTAATTGCACCAATGTCTACCTTTTGAAAAAGAGTTGGCTGAAAGGTATAAAAATAACATCAGCTTTGTTCATATAATATATATCCCCAAGTATAGGATTGGTGTATATGGAATAAATTCCAATAACTAACAAATACTATTCTTAAAAGGGTGCTCAATATAGAATCGACCAAATATAATCATTTATTCGAAAATTAGAACATAAAAATTTTTGTTATAATTTTCGAATAAATGATATATAATTCTTTTTCACCGTACCGATTTATACAAGTAAACATTTTTGTAACACTTTGTTAAATAAAATAATCTGCTACTAAATCGAACAGATTCCCAAAAGAAAAGAGTGCGTAGAATCAATAACAAAATGGTCCACAAATAGTCTCCCATGATTTCATTTCGTTTAATTCTGCGATTGTCATGCTAGCTGTCAAATTCAGCCAAATATTCAAAGTCAGTTCTTTAGCTTTACCAACCAATCATACACGCTAGCAGAACGCGCATCGCGTCACATTCCGATGACGACGAACCTATTTCTGATTACCATGTTTATATGCACTAATGGAAATATACATTTTCTAGATTAAATTGTCTGTTTTTATTTCTTAAAACCATTCCTTTCTATCGAATCAATCTTTTCATTTATTGGTTTGTTTTCCTTTTCTTTTTTTTACGACTTTTTAACTCTTTGCATGTTATTTAAAGCCAGATGGTTTACTGATACAAGTCTAAATAATTAACCCATAAAAGAGGTAGATTCACACTTTTCCCAGTGCTATTTGCGCGTAAGTGAATATGACGAACGCAAAAGGAATTGGAACACCGATTAACAATTCCGAGTTGTTATATATTATACCAACCGTATATCCAAGCTTACATCACATGATATTCCCAAGCGGTCACTCATCTACGTACTGACCAGGCCCGACATTGCTTAAGTTCGGTCATCGTACGGGAACCGGTCCAACAGATTTTTCTTCGCTCTATCTCTTGTGGAGTGTTTCACATTGAAACATCCATTTTTAATTATGTACACTAACAGCGGAATTAACTATGGCTCTAGTATTTGTAGAATTTTCTTTTAAATCTAATATTAAAATAAACTTACCACATCAAAATATAGGAGCTAACCTAAAGTCTCCTCTTGTCTTGCTAATGGAGTCTAGTACTTCCATTTTGGTCGGTGGCGTTAAACCTGAGGTAAATCAAAAGAAATTGGGTACAAGATACGGTCTTGGCCGTTTACGCACGCCGTGAATTTTGGCGCTCGTCGTTGTGGGTACCACCGTTGGGGCCAATGAAGAGCTACTTGTTTTTACTTCTTTATGTGCCGTGTCACTTCAGAGCGTAGGCGATCACGGCTCTCCACAATATCCTGTCTTCTGTCACTTAATATTTTTGTATTTTCCTTGTTTCTCCTACAACCTGTTCCGACATCCATTTATTCATCAAGCATGTTACGCTCTTTTTTTTCTGTTCCTCTTGCTCTTAGTCAGTCCTGTGAGTATCAGATTTTCCAAGCCTGCCTTTCTCATTATCTGTCCCAGAAATTTCAACTGTCTCTTCCTGGTGTTAAGTATATATTTTTTTTCTTTTTGTTTCGATTTGCTCTAAAACCTCGTCGTTAATCGCATGTTCAGTCCATGATATTCTCAGCATCCTTCATCTTTGAGGAGGTTGTCCAGCATTCACTGCCATACAGGATGACAGATATCATGTAACAGTTCAGTATTCTTTTCTTTGTTTATAACGATGTTTTTTCTGTTTCTTAATGCCCTGTTTAGCTTTTGGAAGGCATCTTAGGCTGTTAGATATTAGTCAATGTTTTTTTACATTATCCGGGCTGTTGTTCTTATCTTTATTGACATATTCACAACGTTTCGGCCGTTGTGCGCTCCAGCCTTCTTGGGGTGATTGGAATTTCGAACTGAACCGTTTCTTTTGTCCACCAGGATAGATTGTTCTAGTTCTACGTGCCATGCCTCTTCCGGATGTCCCGTTTGTCTCCCTTTAACTCAACTCGCCAAGTTTATTTGTTTGCCACTACAGTAGCTCGGTATTGAACACAACTCGTTGTGGCAAGTCCTGGATCCAACCAACTTTTTTATCAACTGGATCATGTGTCCTTGACTTAAAGGGAGATAACTGAGACATCAAGAAGAGGTGTGGCACGTGGAACAAGATGAAATTTATTTAGAGTCAGTTTACTGGAACACTGGTTAGTTTTTTGAAAGTATATGGATTTCAGACTGGCAATTCCTTGACATCTTTGAGCATTAGTTTTATTTTTTTTTGTTATTTTTATTACCTGGCATCGTTGGTCGCACCGTGGGAATCTAAGTTATATATTTATAAGTCTACAATCCGTCCATTCTTAGAATATTGCTGCTACAAATTGCTCTAGTGCTCCTGCTATATATTTAGAGATCCTTGATAAAATCCTAAGAATCTGCTATATTATTGTCCCTGGCATGTCTTCTCAGCGTTAGTCAAATTCCCACGCGGTAATGTTGCTCTCCCGTGCTTTTTTTTATAAACACTTTCATGTTAACGGTTCTGATTGAACTCTCCTCTATGGCACCTGGACTTTATGAATTTAAGCGCGGATCAATAATGGCGGCAAGATGTCATTATTTTACGGTTGAAATCACTAGATATAACCGTAAGTTCTATGTTAACAGTTTCTTATATGCTTCTAGAACTCTTTTTCGGCATCTTGCTTCCAAGTCTACTTTGATGTTCAAAAATTTAAATGCAATGTCAGTCGCTATCTTCTGTCTTAATTTCTGTTATTGTATTGTTTTCTCTCCTTAATAATTTTTTTTTTCTTTTTCTTATATGATTTCACCATTCGTAACACATTTCGCTTTGTGGTTTTGTTGCCTTGCTTAGGGTGAAATGATTAAATTAAAAAATAATGCCTGTGACTTCCAATTCATTTGTCGTTGTATAATCCCAATCACCTTCAATGAACCCGAAACATTGTCAAGGCTTAACCCTAAACACTTGTATAATGATAGAACGCATTGCTTACACTCAACCACACGTCAACGCATTCGTAATCGACTTCCTCCCATCGACAACCACCTTTCTTCATTTCTCTTTCTGATTCTTCCAACTGCCACCTTCTGCAATCCTATCACGCCTCGCTTTCATTCATCAAATGGTGGGACGGTGATAATTCGATTAGGGTTCGCGCCCTATTCAGGACCCTTCATCTCATTTCATCCATAAAGTAACAATGACAGCTGAATATAATATTCTGTAAGTGATTGATTTCGGACGGGTAATCGAATCATAGAACGCCTCATCTATTGGCACTGACTGCAGTCCTTCCAAATCGAATCCGATGTCGATTGAAGCTACCTGACTGATAGCTAATCCGCCATGATGAATATCGCCGAAAGCCTTGCATACGCGAACAAAGCACTTAGCGAAAGCGGCTCCGCGAGTTCGATCCAGGCGATGACCCCATTTTCATTTCCCGACAAGTTGTCACTATATATATATATATATATATATATATATATATATATATATATATATATATATATAATGGCTTTTTCGTTGCCGTTTGTTTTGGGTTTTTACTAAATACAATTTTCTTGCTGTTTGTGATATTTTTTTCTTTCTGCTGTGTATATCTCCGATCTATTTTTATCGGATATGGTGATTGCTGGATTTAATTCTGATCTATTCTCCTCAGCTTTCAGCTTCCGTTCTTTTCTTTTCTTTTTTATTTGTGTGTCCTTTTGATTCCGTTCTTTTTTTTTTTCTTTTTTTTTTCGTTCTCTTGTTTCTACTCTCGTCTTCTCTCTCATTGTTTACTCTATCTACCTTTCTTTTCTCCATAACATTTCTTCCTCTGTTCTTTCTATCCTACTTTCTTTCTTTCTTTCTTTTCTTTGTGGATAATAGTACCGCCTCTCTTACTTATTTTCTCTTGCTCCTTTTTGTAAGGTGTTTTTAGTTTTTGTTTATTCAACTTTCCATTCTTTCTTTCTCTTTTTCCTTCCTTTAGTTTGATTTTTCAAAAAAATAAATAAAAATCGCCTCTCTTTTTTCGTGAGAGTTATTTTTAGCGAATCTTTTTCTTTTAAACTTTTTTGTTTCCTTCCGTTTCTCTGTTATTCCTTTTTTCTTTTTCTTTTCTTTTTTCTTTCTTTATTTCTTTTCTTTTTTCTTTCTTTATTTCTTTCCTTTTCTTTCTTTATTTCTTTCCTTTTTTTTTCTTTATTTCTTTCCTTTTTTTCTTTTTTTTATTTCTTTTTCCTTTTTCTTCCTTTTTTTCTTTATTTCTTTCCTTTTATTTCTTTCCTTTTTTCTTTTTTTTTTCTTTTTTCTTTCTTTTTTTTTTTTTCCTTTTTTCTTTCTTTATTATTTCTTTTTCTTTCTTTATTTTTTCTTTTTTTTTTTCTTTATTTCTTTCCTTTTTCTTTCTTTATTTCTTTCCTTTTTTCTTTATTTTTTTCCTTTTTTCTTTATTTCTTTCCTTTTTCTTTCTTTATTTCTTTCCTTTTTTCTTTCTTTATTTCTTTCCTTTTTTCTTTATTTCTTTTTTCTTTCTTTCCTTTTTTCTTTCATTTTTATTTCTTTTTCTTTATTTTCTTGTTTTCTATTCTTTCTTGAAACCTTTTAGCATAATTATTTTAGCGCTTTTTACCGGCCGTGTCTCTTTCTATTTGACATATTGAATGAATCTTTCTTTCTTTCAAATCAACTTTCTTACTTCGTTTTCTTCTTACCATTTTTTAAATTCTTTCTTTCTTTTTTTCTTCTTACTGTTACTGTCTTCTGTTCCCCTCCCTGTTAAAATGATTGCATCTTTTTCTCTCTCTCTCTCTTTCTTTATTCTTTCTCTCTTTTCTTTTTTTTTTACCACCTGTTTCTGTTTTCCATCTTCCTTTCCATCGCTATTTTCCTTTCACGTTTCCTTTCTGTTGCTTTGAATACTCTGACTTTTTTACATTGCGTTTTTTAGGTTTTCTTCTTCATTTCTTTCAATCATTGAACAGGTTTTGTCATTTTTTACTTTAATTCCTTTTCTTTTTTATACTCTTCTTCTGGCGCTCATTTTGTTATTTCGTCTGTTTTTTTGACCATTTGCATCTCTATCGGTTTGTTTTTCCCGCTTGTAGTTCGCTTTCTTTTTAATCAAACGCAGTCTTAAATCTCTTGTCCAAAACTCCTACTCAACAATGGACGCCACAAAGACTAACTTGCACTAAGCAATCCAACAACAAATCTATTTGATGTATAGACATTTACAGATGCGTGGTAAGTGGAAGATTAAAACGAGAATCTCTTTTATTAAATTTATCTGCATAGACAGACGACTAACATAATTTGTCATAATATATTATGAAAGTGTTTTTATTTTTCACAACAAAATTTCTTTTAACCAATGCGTGTTATTAAAGGTTTTGGTATATCTTGTATGAGCTGAATTTTAATTTAAATAAGTGACTGAAGTTAAGCAATGTCGAGCCTTGTTAGTATCTAGATAGGTGACAGCTTGGGAATGCACAGTGCTGTAAACTTCGATGTTGGATGACGCCTCGAAATGAGAAATCGAAGAGCTCAGTTTAAATTCCAGTTGGGTTCGTTGCATTCAGTTCCACGCAAATGCCCTTGGGTGATATGGAATCGAAAAGTGACAGGATCGTCCAAGCGTGTCCCCACCGCAGTAGGGTAATGAATCTGGGGAAGTCCTCCGTCCACCAACGGACTTTCAAAGGCTGAGAAGATGATGTAGAGGAAGATGAAGATGTAGAAGATGAAGCTGTAGAAAAGATGTAGAAATTGTAATAGTATATGTAAAAGAGATGTAGAAGTTGTAGTAGTAGATGTAAAAAAAGATGTAGAAGTTGTAATAGTAGATGTAAAAAAAGATGTAGAAGTTGTAGTAGTAGATGTAAAAAAAGATGTAGAAGTTGTAGTAGTAGATGTAAAAAAAGATGTAGAAG